TGGCTGGGATGAGACCCGTCTGCGTGTCTGAATGCTGACGAACTGGCCTTTTCCAGAACAGTCTGCCCACGCCGAGGTACAGAGGGGGAGGGACGACCTGTGGCCGGAGGGCCCGGGCGGGTGGGGACAGGGTGGAGAGATGCTTCTCAGCAGGTTGGTATGGAGCTTTTGCCTTTGGCCCTCTTTCTTCCAGGAATCACAGGGGCAAAATTCAGCTCCTCCTCCTCCTTCTCCTCCTCCTCCTCCTCCTCAGGCCACACGAGGCTGCTCTCTCTCCCTCTGTGTGTCCAAGGTCTCAGCCTTGGGGCCTCCTGAAGCCCAGCAGCCTCTCCGTGTCCCGGTGACCTCGGGTGACCTCGGGGCTCACAGCGTCCTCACCATCTACACAGGTTGGGGCGTCGGAACTTCGCGGTTTTAAGGAGCCGCAGCTGCTGTGGTCCTGCCTGCTCTCAGGGTCGGTCATTCACTCCCAGCTCCCCGCCAGGTGGGAAGGGGGGGCCGCGCCTCAGAGACCAGGAGGACTTTCCTGGGAGACCAGCCGGGCTCTGGGCACAGCCCCCGCCCCCCTCGCCTGCATCTGCCTCAGGCCAGCTGTTGGTTCCTGGGGCTGGGCTCCTGCATCTATAGACGTGGGCTTCCCGGTGCCCTCGGGTGAGGTTTCAGGGTTTTGTTCTCCGCAGCCTCTCTCTGCAGGAGCATCAGGCCTTCGGGTGTCCGGGCAGGGAATGGAGCGCTTTCCGGAGCCACACCAGGCTCCTGAAAAGAGCTTTGTTGTTCACGGGGTCCCGCCCCTGGGGGTTATTTCTCTCTTTTGTAACCTGCTTCCTGCGCCTCTTAGATTTTTGCAGAAATAAAATCTGGGCGTCCCGCTCCCCTCTGCCATCTGGCGGGCCGGCGTGTTGGTTTCAGGATACAGTCAGCAAAGAGCCCATTTGCCGAAGCTCCCGTATTTCTCTCTCCGGGACGGAAGGGGGTGCAATTGGAATAACGAGCCACCAGGGGGAGTGCTTCTTCTGACTTCCTTTGCATAAAGTAACAAGGACATGTAGTTTGTGCGGGTTTGTTTGTTTTGTTTTATTTTTTCGGGTTTGTTTGTTTTAATCGGAGACGACCAATGAATAGAATTACACAAGAAGAACGTGACCTTTTGTAATTTCATTCGATCATAAAACCGAACCAACAAACCCTGAGCGAAATGTCTTTACAAGCCACTTGCATAGCAAAGTGCTTAAATTCGAGGTGAGCTCTTAAAATGAGTCATTCCAGGACCCGGTCTTTCAAAACATAACCGCTGCTGTAGCTTTTAATGAGAAACGCCAAGGCCCCAAAAACATGTTAGATGCGAGTCCGACGCCCACGGATCCGAAAGCACAATGGGAACTTCCTCGGGCAGATGCTCCCTCTGACCCACGGCGCACCAAGGAGGCGCCTGGGCTGAGCCCGAGGGTCTGTGTCCCCCATTGTGTCGCACCGTGGGCCTAGGCTGCAGCGTGTCAGCCTAGCCTGCACGTGTCCGAGGCCCTGCAGCAGCGGCATTGCATGGAGAGACCCTGCATGGGCCGCCACTGTGACCAGAGCCCGGGACTGGGTCCCTCTGAGCAGCTGCAGGCGATGGTGGGAGAACTTCTCTCCCAGAACTGGAAGTCCCGGATGAAGCTTCGTTAGTTTCTCAGGATCCTGAAAATGGCTCGGAGCAGACGCAGAGTCACATTTTTGAACGGGGTGTGTGTGTGTGTGTTCCCAATGAAATAGAAAAAAGATCCAAACTGGCTTTCAGGGCCGCCCGGCATCTGTACGCTCAGTTCCCTTCAATCTCCAATCCGGTGGCTCTCAACCTTGGCTGCGCATTAGAATCACCTGGGAACTTTTTAAAATCCTGATTTCTGGGCCTCGTGAATTTACAAAAATGAGGCCCAGAAATCAGGATTTTAAAAAGATTCCCAGGTGATTCTAATGCGCAGCCAAGGTGAAGAACCACTGTCCTAATCTCTTCCTTCTTAACCTCTCTCCTCTTCACTTCTTGGAACAGACAGGGTCCCGTCCAGCCCACACCCAGGCTGCGGTGTCCAGAACACCCCGCCCCGCCCGTGGCCACCTCTCACCCCCCAGGTCTCACCTCAGCCTGGCCGGGTCCTTCCTCTGACCCTGGGAACGGCACCTGCCCCTCCCCGACTCCTGGCCTCCACCGTCCCTAGTCCTCTCCTTACAGCAGGTGCGGGCCTACCTGTCTTCCTAACCAGAAAGTGAGCGACTGGGGGCAGGGGCCTTATTTGTCTGGCTCACCGTGTATCCCCAGTGCTCCCTGAGCAACAATCACCCAAAGGTGTTTCTAGATCAATTACTTTTAAAAACCCAGCGGCACAGAAATCGACTAAGAGGAAAGCAAAAGTCGTTTTTCAATCATCGGCAATTCCACTGCCCACACACAGTGCCCACTGCCATGCGATGAGTGCTGTCCCCTTTCCTCTGGGCATCAAAGCTGCACCGATGCCATTTTCACAAAGTGCAACGAAACCACACATTATCTATTATTTGTAGCTTTTCATGAACGTTATTGAATTTAACAGCAAAGTAACTGAAATGAAACGGAAGGGATTAGAAATCACGTTTTTATTAAGGCATCATTTCTAGTGGCTCCTGGTAGACAGGCCCTCCTCAAGTGAGGAAGCGAGATTATGAAAAATATTGAGGCTTGAATTGATGTTTTGTAAACACATGTCCCAATGTGGGGCCGTTTCTATTATGTTTTTAACGTAATCTGATATCAATAATATTTTATCCCCTAACCATAGCCCCACAATCGACGCTTTTGTTTTATGTAAGTGGGTTACAATCTCACTTCCTGTATTTATTTGCTGCCATTCGCTTCTTCTCGCTGAGTTCTCATTTGCTTCCTCCCTGGATGGGCTGATTCCTGCCCAGGGAGGCTTCTGAGCGGGCCCTCGGCTGTGCACGTTGCTGTCTGCAGGTTGAGGCTGTGAGGTTCGGCCTCTCTGGGCACCAGCCTGGCCGTCGCCTCTGGCTCATGCTCTTGTTCCCAGCCGTGTTTTAGACGTTGCTCACGCCATGGGCTGGCCTTGGACGTCACCGACAAGCCTAAGGTCACTGTCATCATCCCGTGGTTCTGTCTGAAGGTGAACATGATTCTTTATCCTTGGTGCTCACCGCCTTCCCAGCACAGATGCTGGTGCTTGTCGGTCCTTGTCCATTTCTCTTGCCCTGGGTCCCTCCCTGGTCCCTCCAGCCTCACCTCCACTCCCCCTTGCTGGGGGCACCACCTGGCCCACCACCTTCCCCCCCTGTGGCCTCCCCAAGCCGCTGCTGGTACCCCCCTGGCTGGGCGGGGCCAGGAAAATGCCCTCCCCTCCCCTCCCCGCTGCTCCAGCCCCGCCTCCGGTGAGTGAGCTCTTCCTGCGCCAGCCCCCAGCTGAGCGGCCCCCCCGCCACGCCCCAGGGGTGTGACCCGGTCCCCTGGATGACACCTGGTACCCGAGTTTCGTGGACGCTGACACCCTGGCAATGAGTAGGATGGTTTATTCACTGTACCATCTATGGAAAAGTTTTCAAGAATATGGCTTTCTGTATTCTTCTACTTTGTGATAAAAATAAAAATCCCTATTCTTTGTTGTTAAAATCACTTGCCTGATCTATGTAAATGAGTCTCCTATCCACACAGCCAACCAGCAGGGGGCGCGCAGTCCGGGTCGGCACCAGGTGGGACGGTTGGATGGACCCCGGCGGCCACGAGCAGGAAAAGTGCCGCTTTGACCCGCGGAGGCTCCAGCCTTTAGGGGCAGCAGCCATGCGCCCTGGGCGCACAGAAAGTTTCCGAAGGAGCAGCCTGCGCGCCCGCTGCCGAGGGGGCTCCGCTCTGGGCCTCCACCTGCGCACCAGGAGGTCAGGGTTCGATGCCCCCGGGTTGCGGGCTCATCCCCAGTCGGGGGCGCGCAGGAGGCAGCCGGTCCCTGACTCTCTCATCATGGATGCTTCCCTCCCTCCCTCCCTCCCCCTTCCTCTCTGACATCAGTAAAAACTTAT